GCATTATATTAAATGTTCTTTGACCAGCAGCTGGCCACTTGGAGTGCCTCTGGTGTTGCTATAAGGATGTCCTCCATTGCACATGTGACAGGGCTCAGGCTGCATTGTAATAGGTGGTCTGTGGTTTGCCCTTCTCCACACTCGCATGTTGTGGACTTCATTTTGTGGCCCCATTTCTTAAGGTTGGTCCTGCATTTCATGGTGCCAGAGGGCAGTCTGTTCAGTGCCTTCCAAGTCACCTAGTCTTCTTTGTGCCCAGGAGGGAGTCTCTCATTTGGTATCAGTCTGGGTTTTAGCCTGCCACTTTTGGACTGTCACTTGCTGAGGTGTTCCTTCGAGTATCTCTGTAGATCTCAGAAAACTATTTCTTGATTTAAGGCATTGGTGTGCTGACTGATATTCGGACAGGGGGTGGGCTGGAGATGTCACTACCTTGGTCCTTTCATTATTGGCTGCTACTGCCTGGTGGATGTCAGGTGGTGCGATACGGGATAAACTGTTTAATTACTCCAGTGGTATAGGGCGCAGTCATCCTGTGATAATGCAGCATGTCACATTAAGAGCCACATTCACTGTTTTAGGATGGTGAGATGTGTTCCACACTGGGCATGCATACTCAGTAGCAGAGTAGAATAGCACAAGGGCAATTTTCGCTGTGTCTGGTTGTGATCCTCAGGTTGTGCCAGTCAGCTTTCGTATGATATTGTTTGTAGCACCCACTTTTTGCTTGATATCCAAGCAGTGCTTCTTGTAGGTCAGAGAATGGTCCAGGGTATTTCCTAGGTATTTGGGTGCGCTGCAGTGCACCTGTGGGATTCTTTCTCAGGTAATCCTCAGAGCTCGAGATGCTTGTCTGTTCTTAAGATGAAAAGCACATGTCTGTGTTTGAGATGGATTAGGAATCAGCTGGTTTTCTCTATAATAGGCAGTAAGAGCACCTAAAGCTTCGGAGAGCTTCTGCTTAAGCATCTCAATGCTCCCTGCTTGAGTGGTGATGGCACAATCGTCAGCATAGAGGAAACTCTCTGTCCTTTACAGTAGTAGCTGATCATTTGTGTAAATGTTAAACATTGATGGAGCAAGCATGCTTCCCTGAGGCAGGTCGTTCTTCTGTTTTCGCCATCTGCTTTTCTGGCCCTGCAATTCAACAAAAAAGCTCCTCTTTTGTAGCAGATTTCCTATAAAGCGGGTAAGGTGGTAGTCCTTTATGATATTATAAATTGTTCTCAGGAGAAGTGAACAGAAGCAACTTGCCACTCATGGTTGAGAATTGGGGAAAGCCCCAATGCTGCCTCAAGGGGCCCAGCCAGGCCTCCCTGTGGACTTTTGTGAATCTATTCAGAGAAGGCATGATTTTAAAAACAAAAGTTAAAGCATGCTTTTTTTACCAGAAAAGAAAGCATTAATTTCCCTGAACAAAGGTGAAAGCGTAGTCTGTCCTGGGAGAATTTAGAAGAACCAGCCTGTCTCTACTCTCTTGGCACTCCTTTGAGATCTACTGCACTGCCATTTTCTCACCCGGGCATTCAAAAAAGGCAGAAATGGTGCCACAGTGGAGAGAGTAGAGGAGTTTGAAGTTTCTTTTTTAAGATCTCCCAGGACAGACTAGGCTCTCAGTTTTCACCATTCTACTCTGAGAATGGGACCGTGCCTTTTTAAAAATAAGAGTTAATACTTACATTGATGCATGGATAAGCTGATCTAGGTTTTTTGGGTCAATTTTTTAAAACTACAATTTCTAGACTTGCAAAGGCATTCAACAAAGTGAATCACAGAGCTCTCTGGACCATCCTCCAGAAAATCGGGTGCCTTAACAAATTTGTGAACATCCTGCGGCTCCTCTATGATGACATGATGGCAACAGTCTTGGACAGCAATGGCTCCCAAAGTGACCCATTTAAGGTGGAATCAGGTGTCAAACAGGGATGTGTTATTGCCCCAACTTTATTTTCCATCTTCATCGCTATGACACTTCACCTTGTTGATGGGAAGCTTCCTACCAGAATGGAAATCATCTATCGGACAGATGGCAAGCTATTTAACCTCAGCAGACTGAAAGCCAAAACCAAGGTTACAACAACATCTATTATAGAACTCCAGTATGCTGATGACAATGTCACCTGTGTGCATTCAGAAGAAGACCTACAAGCCACTCTAAACACCTTCGCAGAAGCATACGAGCAGCTCAGCCTGTCATTAAACATCAAGAAAACCAAAGTGCTCTTCCAGCAGTCACCAGGCAATCCTTCTCCAATGCCAGAAATACAGCTTAATGGTGTAACATTAGAAAATGTTGACCATTGCCGCTACCTTGGCAGCCACCTCTCCACAAAAGTCAACATTGACACTGAAATTCAACACTGCCTGAGCTCTGCGAGTGCAGCCTTTTTCCGAATGAAGCAGAGAGTGTTTGAGGACCTGGACATCTGTTGGGATACCAAGGTGCTTGTTTATAAAGCTATTGTCCTCCCAACCCTGCTATACGCCTGCAAGACGTGGACTGTCTACAGACGTCACATGCAACTCCTGGAATGATTCCATCAGCTCTGTCTCCGGAAAATCCTGCAAATCTCTTGGGAAGACAAGCAGACAAATGTCAGTGTGCTGGAAGAAGCAAAGACCACCAGCATTGAAGCGATGGTCCTCCGCCATCAACTCCGCTGGACCGGCCAAGTTGTCCGGATTCCCGACCACCGTTTCCCAAAGCAGTTGCTCTACTCTGAACTCAAGAAAAGAAAACGGAATGTTGGTGGGCAGGAAAAGAGATTTAAAGATGGCTCAAAGCGAACCTTAAAAACTGTGGCATAGACACTGAGAACTGGGAAGCCCTGGCCCTTGATTGCTCCAGCTGGAGGTCAGCTGTGACTAGCAGTGCTGTGGAGTTTGAAGAGGCACAAATGGAGGGTGAAAGAGAGAAACGTGCCAAGAGGAAGGTGCATCAAGCCAACCCCGACCAGGACCGCCTTCCACCTGGAAACCAATACCCTCACTGCGGGAGAAGATGCAGATCAAGAACTGGGCTCCACAGTCACCTACGGACCCACTGACAGAACACCGACCTTGGAAGACCATCATCCTCTGAGGGATCGCCTAAGTAAGTAAGTAAGCAGACTTATACACAAGTAAATACAGTAGCCCATACTAGGCTTCTCAAACAAGATCTGTTGCTGTGGCTTCTACTTTTGCAAATTATATGCCTCATGCTCTCTTTCAGGAGTGGAAAGGAGCAATCAGAACACGCTGAGTGGAACACTGTGACCTTTGCTGTGAAACAGTCTAGAGATACGTAGCACAGATGAGAAGCAATTAAGAACTGATTTGCTCCACTCTTCGGGGAGGAAAATCAGTTCTGAAGCACATTTGCTGGCAGAAAAGCAAACAACAGGACCTCCGAAATAAATAATGAAATCCCAAGGAAATAGCAAGTTGAGTAATAGCTCTACTCCTAACACATTTCTGAAATTCTAAAATGCAAAAAAGCCTGCATAGGATAAAGAGCAGCAGCCCACTGATAAGGATGTGGAGGGGAAGTGGGATTGGTATTAACATAATGATACATTCTCCAATTATTTTGGTAATACCAAAAGTACCATAGACTAAGGGCCCTTCCAAACAGCAACCCAGAATATAAAGGCAGATAACCCACAACATCTGCTTTGAACTGGATTATCTGAGTCCACGTTGCTATATAATCCATTTCAATGTGGATTTTATACAGCTGTGTGGAAAGGGCCTAAGAAGCAAAAAAGAAATTCACTTAGCACAACAGACATAAAAGCTTGAAGAGCCCTATCCAACAACAACAACTTATTTGTACACCCTTGAGTGCCCGAAGGCACTCAAGGGTGTTTCCAAAACAAATACATAAGCCTGATGCAACATAATGATGTAGCTATGATCAAATAAGCATGCTCAACACACTTTTGACTTTAGGAGGTACACCACAATATGATAAGTAATTTAGAATAAAGTGATCATGGTGAGTTGCATTATAAACTGGTTTTAGAGTAAAAAAAAGGTAAGGAGTAAGCAAAAGGAGAAGAAAATGGGTAGGTCTGGTGGATGGGAGTAGAAGTCTCATTTTAAATTAAGTGTACATCTGAGGTGATTTGTTGAATAACAAACTAAAGCCGCAAGGCTATAGGAATACACTTTAAGTCAACATGTTTATTTTGCATATTGTTTCACAGAATGTATTTGTTCACTTATTTGACCTAGTTATCAAGGACTTTCTCTATTGTTTATTTATTTCCCACTTTTTCTCAATAAGGAACCCAAGGTGGATCAAATAACAAAATACAATTAAGACAATAGATAACACAAAAGTTAGAAACTATTGCATGAACAGGCATAATAAAAATATTCATTTAAAGTTTTAAATGATGTTACAATGTTAAAAATATGATTTCTCTCTGTACCAAACAGCGAGGTGTCGGTAAATGGAAAGAGGATTCCTTCTCTCAAAACTCAAATCAGGGATCAAGGAAGAAGGGTGATGAAAATAACAAAAGGCATTTTTCAGCTTCATTCTGATAAGGGAATTAAGGCAGGCTTTTATTTAAATGGCAACATTAAAATATATAAAAACAATATAGTCATAATGACTGAGAAATGTAATGTGTGTTCTTCTTCATCAGTGCTCCATTTATCTGTTAAAGAGCTTTGCTTTGAGTTGACTAAAGTCTTGATGTAAACAGATGAGTATCATAATCTATTGTTGTTTTCCTAGTTAGGAAAGGCAGATAATACACTCTAGAAACCAATTAACGAATCTTGAAGAGGTTTGTCTAATTGTGACAATATGTTACACAGACAATAACAAGAATGTATACAACTGATGATGTCTCAGAAGGTCTTCCACAGTGCTGTGGCAGAGGTAAATGAAATATCATGTGAGCCCAAAACAAGACATTTCTCTGACACAGATTGATGGAGCTTTATGGAATGCTAGTTAAGTAATCCATTTGTGTGGTTTGAACACAAAGAAAAGTTGCACTTACCTCCATTATCTTTTAGATGTAAAGCTATCTTGGTATCATCTAGAAAAAGAAAATTAAAGCACTTAGAGAAAAGAAATGTATAGAAGGATCTGATTTAATGCACTGCAGGTTGCACATCTCTTAACTGAGATTTTGAAATCTGAAATATTCCAAAAGCCAAAATTGTCTACATGAATGTCTGAGATAATAGTGAGCCATTTGCTTTCCGCTGTACAACATTATTTAAAATATTGCATGAAATTACTTTTAGACTATGTCTATAAGATATACAAATAACATAAAACAATTTTTGTGTTTAGACTTGGGTCTCATCTCAAAAATATCTCATTATGTACATATATGCAAATTCAGATTCCAAAATCCAAAAAAATAAATAAATCTGAAATCCAAACTAGTTCTGATCACAAATATTTTCAATTATGGATACTCAACTTGAATTTAAAAAATATGATTTCAAATTTCCACACTTAATAGTGTTTGGTTCTATATTCACAATGGACTATATGTCTAAGGATTGTTTTATCTACAATGAAAAAAAATCATTTTCCACCTAATCATGATTTTATGTTGAACCCATAGCCACCTCTTGTTGTAGAAACCTAGGTTTCTAGGTAGTCCTGGTTGAGAAACCCTGGGCCATACAGACCAGTAACCCTGCAGTACATTTAAAGACGTAAGATTCATTTGCTATAATTTGAATATCTTTATTTACTTCCTCATCACACCATGAAAATCTAGATATTTGCTAGAACTAAATATTAATTTCTCTATACAAAATGTGCCTTTCTTTCATGGTTTGTTTATATAGGTGGAACTATTTATTTTTTCTACCATCAATCATATAGGTTAGGACTACTGGTATATCTCAATATTTCCCAGGCAAAAGATGACAGCCCTTTGTCAGTTTTCTGTCAGTGATATACACATACAAATGTTATTTTATGCATGTGGAGTATTTATATTTGTCATTGCGCAATGACTAGATCTAGCTGAAGGGAACTGAGGTCTGCATGTGGAACACAAACCAATGCACATGGGCAAATGCACATGATGTGCAAAGGGCCTCTGATTCTTCCATAATAGGATCTAAGTCCCCACTGTAGAAAGCACAGAGTCCCAATGAGGAACATGTGCCAATTCATATTGCACTGTGCATTTCATTTTCATATCTGACTGTCAACCAGTCAGCCATAAGCATCTAGAAGTTATACATTCACGATGCACTATATTATTATTATTATTATTATTATTATTACTACTACTACTACTACTACTACTACTACTACACAGCTTTGAGTCTCCTTTGTGGAGAGAAAAAGTGGGGTATAAGTAAACATAATAATAATAGTTATTATTATTATTATTATTATTATTAATGTTTATTTATACTTTTTCTCTCCACAAAGGAGACTCAAAGTGAGTTTGTAGTATCCAGTACAGGAAATGTGTAAGGCAAGTGGAATGTAACTCTGCTGGTTGTTATTTATTCTAGGTCTTGGTGATACAGGATCCCTGCCTGTGTCTGTCCCACTTGTGACACAGTATGGCAACATAAGGAATGTTTGTCCCATTGCTGAGAGAATTTGGTGCCTTACGCTGGATGAAATAAGACAAAATACTTAACATCTGTTGTGGTTTTCTAACTGCATGTGGTTTCCTAATTGAAAGATCTCATAATAATCATGCTTCCCTGTGACTGGCTGAATGTAAACCTAGAATTAATTTGCAAGTTGGACTGCTGAGGAAATTCCACTGACAGGGAGAAATGGGTTAATTCTTGGGAATATGCTCTTTCCTTGATGTCTAGTTTGACCCTCTGTCTATCTGTACTATTCTAGGATTAATGAAATAAAGCCACCATAGTATCGGATGAAAGAGAGAGCACTGCCCAATTACCTCATAACCCTGAGTACAGAATGTATTTGCTCTAAGTGACAAGGCTGTGTAGCAAATCTCATCAGCTACTTAATGTCACATCATCTTGTTTGTCACTAATTGCTATGAAAGAGAATCCAATATCATTGGAAATGCAGTAGGGAGGAAAAAACCTGTTAGAAGAAGAAGAAGAGGAGGAGAGGAGGAGGAGTAGAAAGCATATGGACTTTTGCTTGAGTATTTTGCAGTCCCTGAAATCCAGCTTTCTGACCTGAAAAGTTCTGTGGGTGAAAATTCAATGCAGCGCTACATGGGATTACATATTGTGAACAGATCAATAGCAGACCCAATTATCCAAACCTGGCTTGCACCATATAAAAGCACCTAATCTTTCTCACAGGTAACATTAATCGTTTGAGTATATTTTCATTGGCAAACCTTTTGAATGCCCAGCTGAAATTCCCAGGACTTTGTTATCCTTTGAAGATCAGAGCATAAGCTCCCGTTTCTTATAGTTGTCCCTTACAGAATCTACCAATTTAAAACTTCTTTACTGCTTTCAGATTTCTACCATTCCTTGTCAGTTTGAGCAGCCAGGAGTTAGTGGGCCATTATTAGCAGAGGTATACTGAGAATCGAAGCTCAGAAGCTTGCACTGACAACTCTGAATCCTTTTTTTCCGTGTTGCTGAACTGAAATATAGTCTCTTGCATTAGAAGATTTCCTCTTGGCATTATCCTTGAGGCGTTGCGAAGCTTAATCTTTCTGTCTCCTAGTAACCTCAATTCTCTTGATAGGATACTTCACAGAATCAGCCTGCTGTATAAGCACCCAACTTCTTGACAGTCGCTAGATGCTAGCATGACATTTCCCTACTGTACAGACCTAGAATCTAGAGTAACTTTTCTCCTCTTTCATTAAGTAGCATAAATGAAATCACCCAACAAAATTCAGGGTGTTTCGAAGTGAAGGGCCCAATGTCAAAGCAGTGTATTTCACAATGGCAACATGCTACCATTATACAAAAAGTTACAAACAGTTTATCAAGTTATACTAACAATTTTGAGCTGGAACCAACTCTAAAAAATAACTCCGCTAATGGAGAATATCTCACTAGGCGGGGTCCTCGTCCTTCAAATGACTGAAACAATAGCAGTTCATTTTCCTTTTAAACCCTATACCAACCCATTCAAGTGGTAAGGATTTCATTTGTGGGCAGTTTGAAGTTGCAGAAATATAGAGATTTCAAATCAGGTCCATCTTTTTGAAACATCCTGTTAAATCCCCCTTCTAACAAGGAGAATGTATGGGGTTACGGATTTGCCTCTTGTAGACAAGTTTAAATAATCTGTTTCTTCCATCTCATGAAAAACGGGCTGTAGATGCATTTTATCTAGTTTGAATTCTTCCAAATTGAGTAGCATTTTCCCCAACTATCTATATTCAGTGCTTTCAATATCAAATGCAACTAATTTGTATGTATGAGTGTCTCTCTCTCTTTCTGTAGATGTGTGGTCATAATCTTTTCGCTTGGAGTCACATTTTAAATATTGCAAGGGCCTCCATATTTTCAATTACAAAGGAATTTTAGGTGCACTAAGAAAATATAAAATGAAAGTGATATTGATTTTCTACTTATTTTTCATAATACAACACTTAAAACACATACAAAATGCAATGGACCTCTGTTAAAATCCCATTAAGGACATGAAATACACAACTTCCATGCCACAAAAATAAATAAAGGAAGTCACAAACCTATACACTTTGTCTAGAATAAGCCCCTTTAAACACTCAATTGATCTAGTCATGTACAAGTTGTTATTCTCATGTGTTTGAAGTCATTTCTGATTTCTGATTATCCTAAGGTAAGCCAACAAGAAGTCTTCTTGGCAAAATTTGTTGTGAGGGATTTTATCTCTGCCTTTTTCTGAAGCTGAAAGAGTGTGATTTGTCTAAAGTCACCCAGTGAGTTTCTATGGTTGAGTGGGGACTTGAACTCTGGTCTCATCTACATTACTAATATAAATAATGACAATGTTCATCATATCATTAAATCAAATCTTTAATTCTAAATTACTAGTGCTCCTATACAATAACATCATAAAAAGAACTTGGAAATGGACCAAGATCTTTACCATTTTAGGGAAAATGCAATGAAGTACCATAGTGATATTTTTGTGGAACCCAACAATCCAACATAGATCACATATTTCAGTTTAGTTTACCTTCTGTGGGCAGACTCGTAGGCAAATGGGATGTCATGGCTCCTTTGGTAGTGGTTAAAACTCTGAATCTTGTTGTTGTTTGCTGTATGGCAATACTGGTGTGAGGAGGCATTTGAGTTGTATCTATCTTTTTTTCACAAATGTTGTCTTTTGACTATAAAGGAGAAAAAACACAAAGAAATGAGAAACTGGAGTCAATATGTCTATAGATCTAAAGCAAGCAGAAAATGGCAGATTGGAATGAATGAAATGGAAATCATAAATCAAATATTCTTTCTGTCTTGATTATAAGCAAAAAAACGGACTGAATTCTCTAAAATGAATGAAGACTTGTTGCAGAAATGGTGGAAGGAATAACTCATCGGACATGGCTGGCCTCCTAGCTATTGTAGGAGTAATGACTGGTAACTGAAAGGCTGAGATAAAAAGTTCATATTATGATATTACATGTTCCAAATCTGGGATCTGATATTGCAACAATTTCTGGGTCTTAGGAACAAGCTTTCTTGCCCTCAAATAAAAGATGAATCTTATTTAAAAAGATACCAAGAAATCTAATTCAGGATCAATGTGCTCCAGTTAGGAGAGCTCCTTACTTGGTGCTCAGCTGCAGGCCCTGCAGCTGAATGTCCAAAGCCTGCACCCGTAGGCCCTAGCACTTTGAGCCTACGGGTGAAGCCCCCCCCCCCAAATAACGTACATGAAAACTAAACGAAAAACAAATATCTGACCTTCCAATTTTGGGAGGTTCAGACGAAAACAGATCGGGGACCCCACCGAAAGCCAAACACGAAACAGATCAAAAATGGATACATAAAAAAATCACAGATTATGACTTTTGCGCTAAACCATTTAGTATGCCTTTTCTCCTTCATAATATTGATAAACTATATATAACTAATAAAATAGATAGTAAATCTTCTCATAGCCAAAATCTTAGAATCGAGAATTTATAGAAAATAGTAGCATACTTTTCAAGACTCCATGGCTAGAATGTGTATAATGCCAGGTGTTAGTCCGTGAACAACATTTCTATGTTTTGTTTGTGCTGATCAGTGCTGACTAGGAAAAATAAGGAGCTATGTTTGGATCTACTACCTGGAAAGTGAGCTACCACTGACCATGCTGGAAGTTTGTTTGTCACTACTGACAAATTCAGAAGGGGGATAACTGTAGTAACTCCCTGTTGGATCAAAGCTAGTCTCTAAATTTTGTTTTGAAAGAACTATTCACAAAAAAAAATCACAAATATAGAAAATCTGATAGTTACCTCTTCAGGGCAGCCATTATCTACCCAGTCTTGTCTGTGACGATCAAATCCGCTGGAACATCTTTAAAAGATGAAAGAGATTAAAATAGTCCAGACGCAAATGGAAAATAGATTGGTCAGATAGAGAGAGAAGGGGAGGGAAGAGAAAGTAATTAAGTCCTTTACTGTTGAATCTGTATGATCAACAGAGTATTCACTTCATTCAGGATGAGCTTTGGAGTAAAAATTATTAATGCTTTCTATAAGAAACTAATTTCCATAATTACACCATTTTAGATGTCAGTGCCTTTTTGCTTTGGATAGTTAATAACTTCATTGTTCTATATATCAGGAGATTAAGATTTGATCCCAAGCCCATGGATTTAAGCCAATTTAATTTATTCTGCCCAGATTTCCTTGTGTTTCGTTTTGTACACAGTTACACTACAAAGAACATAATGTACTGGGCGCTACAACTTTCTTTTCATCATAGCAGGCAATCAAAGATATTAAGGCACACGCCAATGTGTGAAGAGAACATACCAGGTTTTGAGCAAAAAAAATCAAAAGACTCTCAAGGGCAATTTAGAAGAAATTGTTTGCTTTAATTTTTCATTTTTCATTGCAGAGACTTAGGGTGCTTGTAAACTATTGCCCCAATTAAATAAAAATTAATGATGTTCTCCACAAATTATAATTTATGGTATGCAATAAGCTAATTTTAAACCAACAGGTACAGTTACTCATTAATTATTCCCATAGAGTATCCAACTGCACAAAAATGTCATTAATATTCTTAAAATGACTTGAGATCTTGGAATGGAAACAAGACAAGCTACCAGCCATGAAGGGGCAAGGTTACCCAACTTAGGAAGACATGCTATAATGGACAAAGCCTAAAGTCCAAAATGAATCTAGCCTTCAGAATCATTATAGTATTTCTTAAAAGAGAGCAAGACCAAACAAGAGTTGTCACCTCACAGCACATAGTGGGTTTTATTTCTGAGAAAACAATGATGGTGTGAGCACTGAGTGATGGGGCTGACGCTCCAAAGGGACAGAATGTGAAACTTCCTTATTTTTTTCAAGCAATTCTTAAACTATGTTTTGGAGAAGAAAGATTGTGACATATAAAATGTATGATGCCAACTGCCCCCATTTTCTTGGGATGTTGGAAGACTGAGAATGGGTGATCTTGAGAGAGTTTTAGAGTTCAAATTTGGGGGAATTAGGACTTACGTTCTGTTGTTTGGGCTCTGCTTTTACTACTATAATACTATGGAGAGCAGCAAGGTCTATGGAGGACTGATTTTATATGCAATGTAATCAGTATAATTTCACCCATGCCTTGCTAGGAAATTCACCCAATGTTGTCAGATTTGATTACTTGCTATGGCTCTATGCTATGGAATCATGAAAGGGCTATTTGGTGAAAAAATCAGTAGAGAAGACTTAGAAATCTGTCAATACAGCGAGAATAATAATAGCAAAATATTGGAAAGGACAAAAAGAGTTGGGTTGCTGGGAGTCTTTTGGGCTGTATGGCCATGTTCCAGAAGAATTCTTTCCTGATGTTTCACCTGCATCTGTGGCAAACATCCTCAGTGGTTTGTTCAGAGGTCTGTTGGAAACAAGACAAGTGGAGTGTATATATATCTGGGGACTATCCAGGGTGGAGGAAAGAATCCTTTGTCTGTTTGAAGCAAGTGCAAATGTTGCAATTGGCAAGCTTGATTAGCATTGAGTAGTCTTGCAGCTGCAAAGTCAAGCAGTGTTGTTGTCTGTAGGCATCCTTTGTTTGGGAGGTGTTACCTGTCTAGAATTCCCGTTACTGAGTGGTGTTCTATATTTACTGTCTCGATTCTAGTGGTTTTTTTTTAATACTGGTAATCAGATTTTGTTCATTTTCCAGGTTTTCTCCTTTCAACAGAATTTCAACAGAAAGGAGGAAACCATTATTGCTAAAGGACCAGAGAGAAAAATTATTGGAATATATCCAAATGGCCAAGCTATCCAATGGCATATGGGAAGGAAGCAATGAAAATTTTGTTAAGAAATGGAGGCTTGCATTTGGATATCTAGAAAAGAATGACAAAATAGATTTCAAAGTAGTCACAAGGGTAGGGTTTTTTGAGCTATTGGTTTCACGCTGGGTGGTGCCGGAAGTCATGGATGGAGGTTCGCGGGTGGGGGGAGCGGGAAGGGGTTAGGGGGAATGGCATAACTGTATTATGCGTATTTAATTATCTTTAGATGTTTTTTCTTTTCACGTTCTGTATGCCATTAATTCATTAACTATTTTTTTTAAAAAAAACTTTAAAAAAGATTCATGGAAATTGTAGTTTGGTGAGGCACCAACACTATTTGGCAGAGAAGGTTAAATAATGATTATGTAAAATTTCCATGATTTCTTAACATTGACCCATGGCAGTTAAAGGAGTGCTAAACTATGTTAATTCTACAGTGTAGATGTGCCTTATGAAGAGGCCACGTATACTTTATTGCTCTGCAGAAGCTACTACTTTGGAGTTCAATAGGTAATGACTAGATCAAAATGTTCAAACATATGGCATCAATATTATTCCCTCTCTTTTCCACAAACCACTTCCAGCAATGTGATAGACCATGTGTATCTAGGTACTCTGGCTTCAGTGTTAGTCACTGGGAACTGAATTTAAGTATCCTAGTCAATGTACATTTATGAAGAAGCAAATCTTCTAACAAAAACAAAGAAGGCTACATTTCACAGCACTTCCTAGAAAAACAAAACATCTCTTTGGGATATTACTCCCCTAAGTTTTCAATGGTCTTGTGGGCTGCTCTGCGAGTTGGAGACCAAAACATGCTTTGTAGTCTGAATACATTGCAAGATTATCAATAACATGATTGTATCCTTCACCAAAAGCTGCCAAGAGAAGTACAGGCCCAAAAGGGTAACCTATATTCTTGCTAATCTTTTTCAATTTCAACTCTGAATCAACTTGGTGTTCAAGATCAAGGGAAAAACAGTTATGAAAGCTTTGAATTTCACCAGAAATCTAGAGAAGCCATAGCGAAATCGTAGCTGACTTTATAACTACACGTACATATAAATTTGTGATTGCAATCTTATGCATGTTTACTATGGAAGAATTCACATGAGCAATTATTTTTGAGTAGATATACATAAATTTTGCACTGTAAAGTTGTAGTTCTGAAAGCTGTCACTCTTCAGAAGACTTCTATCCTGCCTTGACTTTGTAGAAATCGAAGCATAGTAAAATAGGCAATCTTTGTTTACTAAATCCATGCCTATATGTGAAGAACTGAACACATAAATAATCTGGGTTACTCTGCCCTAGAAAACTGAAAAGAACAAAGGGCCCTGGCTATTCTGCTGATGCAATGGTGAGCCTAGTCGCTCTTATTGAAAAGCTGCTTTATCAGGAACAAGATAGTCTTGGCTCCAAGTGGAGCTATCTACAAAATATTTCCATGGCATATGTCAGAGAATCATCAGTCACGGAGCATATAATCATTGTTGCGTCTCCGAATTATGACTCTGCAAGCTATCATTACAATGTGTTTCCTGCTTTGAACACAACATTTAATAAGCCTTTCATTTACTAGCACAGCGATAATTCCCCATTGCCACAAAAACACCATGCTAGATTTGATTAGTTATGCCATTTGGACCATCTGTCAACACAGCCGTTTTATAACAACTTCATTCTCAAAGGATGACCCAAGTTTGCTCCTAGCAAAGCAATTAATAGACCAAATTTTAAGGACACAAGAACGAGGACCTCAGTTGGGAGGAAGAAAAAACCCCTAAGAATCTCGTGCTTGTCCATTTAGGCAGAACACAAGAATGTGATTTTAGGAGTGGAAACAGAACAAGTGTACAGACATAATGGGAGTAGACTAGCGGCTCTTGATGGTATGCTACAGAGGACTGAGTTAACTTCTTCCAGGATATGGGTCCTTAAACCTTTTAAGCTCAGGGCCTGTTCATGGTCCCCTGGATGTTTTTTTTTTTTGGGGGGGGGGGGAGCGAGGCGGACTATAGTTTGAAAAAACACTCAAATTTCTATGCACACTGCACATATTATATTTGTGGAAGGAATCTTCAGATGTATTTCTCAGAAGAAATATTTTGTTCTCTGTTAAATTTAAAGAATATAATAATGCAATMATGTAGAAGTAATTACTTACATTAGTCATTGTTTCTTTCTAAACTGTCATAAAAACTGAGCAATGYTGGCCTAGCCATATATTCCCAATACTAGACAATAGCCATTTGTTACAAATGAAAGCAGCACAATAGATTCACTCCATTTATCAAGGGCAGGAAACATCTGCATCTATGTTGGTAAAAAATCAGAGTCTGGGCAATCACCTTCATGACTATTACACAGGAATGGAAGGTGCTCAAAACTTCATATTATTATCTGAGGACATACACAGTATATTTACATTGGTATTCATCACAATGACTGAAGCACTGTACTATGCTTCACATTGGTACTGTATGATGGAAACAGTGATTCAACAGAGAAAACATAAAATGACCAGAATCTATATGCTAATTTATAAAAGCATTGACATTACTTGATTTCTAATAGAGAATACAACTAAATAATGGAATAGCTATTATTTTGCATCATAAAGAACACAAGGCTGAAAAAGCTGAGAGCAGAAGTCTACCCGGCCTTGTGCTGTCAATATCTACCATTGATGGTCAATATATTGATCTTGAAAACCTGGGTCAACTTATTCAAGGATGAATGCTGCATTCATTCGAGTCAAGGCCATCCAATCCAGGGAGAAGGAAGCAGAGTTCCCCTGCTTCTAGGGAGTTACTGATTTCCATGTGCACAGGTAATAATAATAATAATAATAATAATAATACCTCAAAATCAAACTGCAAAGGCTCTGGCATAAACCAGGACAGGTCGTCCCAGTGGTCACTGGCACACTGGGTGCCGTGCCAAAAGATCTCAGCCAGCATTTGGAAACAATAAACATTGACAAAATCATGATCTCTCAACTGCAAAACGCTACCTTACTTGGATCTGCGCGCACCATTCAAAAATACATCAC